CCCAACCAGAATCAATCAAGAAAAACGTTTTTAAAATTTTATACCGCAGTATTCGTATTTGAAGAATCTCGATAGGATGGCACGGAAACTGGTCGGAAACGTCGACTGAAGGATTCGTGGAACAAATGAGACTTGACATTAGCCATAACAGACTCCTCGGATTCGACTTGAATAGTGACAGGTTCACACGCAAAATTCCTATGCAGTATTTCGAGGTGTTGTATATTTCCATTCGAATGAATAAGAAATCCGCCGGATTTTCTGAAACTTTCCGTTGCTCGATCTTATTATTCAAACCGACACTATTTTGTCAAACAGTGCGAACTGTGATTGCAATTAGCTTTGAATTTCCGAAGACTGGCCTTCGTAGATCCACCCTCCAATGAAGCCGTACTGATGACAATCTCGGCTCCTACACCGAAAATACAGTACAGGGTTTCTTCTCGGTCACAGTCGGTGTGCATTGATAACCAATGCTGTTCGAATTTCGGGTTGGCGGTTGAAGACTGGGTTGTTTTCACGCCTTCCCGCGTCTCACGATTTTCGGCATAATCGTCTTGACGCAGAAGCCTGCGTTTGGGATTTCTCCGTCCGCTTCCGAAAGCACTTGAATTTCGAATGCAAATAAATTCATGCCACAACGTGTATTCGTTCCTTCTATCGCCATTGCAGAGCAGATTCGAAGCTCCCATGCTCGCCTTTCTCTCGAGAAATGCGCGAAGCTGTTTATCTCGTGGGACAAAAATACGAATCATCTCCTTCGTAATTTTGAAATTAAATACATAAATGAGAGTCTCAAACTGCATTTAATTGTTTAAAAACACATCGTGATAGCCAACACATCTTTTTCAGCGTGCCTGTGATGTCCGCAACTCAAGGCTTTTCAACTTTCCGCTGATTTTATCACATTTGCGTGACGAAGTACTTGATTTATCACCTGGTCAAGTACCACCTGTTGTCATGAGCTGTATCATTCAAAAGTTGAGAAACTGGTAATGCGTTTATTTGTCATGCCTAATTCTGAGCTTTGAACATCGTGTGCATCAGTCTCAAGGCCTGGCTTTTTTAACCACTTAGATTTTTATTACTTTGAGCAAGCTCAGTTTTAATATTGATGATACGTCTCGATTTTCCCTTTTGCTTCTCTGTGGTGTACTTGTTCACTTGCTTTCTATTATTACCTGCGAAAAAGTAACTTAATAATCTGAGGGAACAGTGTGTCGATAACCTCAAATGTCTTTGAGCTCAGAGGTTAAATTTAATCGAACAGAAGCATCATCATGTGTTCTACATAGTAAGTGCAATGAATACCACCAGTGGTAGATTTTCTAACGAATAAAAGTTTCTGATTGAAGAAGATAGTTCAGTTATATTTTTTCAATTGAAAAAAATGAATGTCCTATAGACTGTATAGAGAGGCAATAATGCATAAAAATCTTGTTGTATGTGAGATTTTCCTTTGATTCAAGTATAATTCTGTAACCATTGCCACGTTGGGCTTTTCCATCACCAATTGGTAGACGGGATTCTGATTGGAAACTCGTGCCATAAGTCATCAAATATTTCGAAAACTTGGGGATCGGAGCTAATATTTGTACAGAACACTAACATATAATACCATTGTCAATATTCCGCATCTCCTTGATCATAGAGCATCTGATCAGACTATGGTTTAAAAAATTATCTTGAAAACATAGATTTTGTTATCGACCTTTTTAGCCGAACGATTGTATTTGCATTTTAGTGAATTATTCTCAATTCGCGCGCGGAAAATTGTGGGTTTCCGCTTGTCGCATCCCAGCGTACAATATGAGCAACGAAGTTCTACGCTTTCGGAAAAGATCGGATTCTGGGCAATAATCAAGTACAATACGGTAGTGGTTTCTCTAAGTCGCTAAGATGATCGCAGCGGCTAAGCTGACGATCGATGAATACGCGGCTGTGTATGACGCATCTCATGCTGAGGACGGATATACCCCTCGTTATTCGATGAATAACTTGTTGGGCTCAGGACTGGGCTGATTATTTATTTAAGTTATGCTGTCACTCTGTGCAAAACTCATGGAAGGTGTCGATAAAATACGCAATACTGCATAGCACTTGTTCAATTTTTTTTTAGAATTTTGTAATTATCTAGAGCCTTGTGGATAAGAATCGCTTCCATTCTTCAAGATGAGATGTCAGAGTTCTAGGCTCGCGTTCGCAATCGCGAAATTAAGGTTATCATAGCATCTCTTCCTTTTGCCCCAGGAAATGACCTGAGCCAGACGTACACGAACCCCAATGGGGTTCTGGGCAACCGGATCTCAGTGAAAAAAATAATATATCGACAATGATTTGCGAGCATCTGATCAGACTATGATCGTATTTATGAGAATAATATTTCTTACGAGGAAAATAATTGAAGTGTTGCATGTCATTATTAACAAGCTAATATTTTTACATGAACAATTGTTCATGTATATTTTTGTGTACAGTTGAAATGAGTGTGGACTGCGGAAAGCATTAAAAATAAAAATAAAATATCCTAATTGACAAGTACTCTCTCAGACGACGAAAGGTGTTCACGAGGGAAATTAAACTTTGAAATCTGCTGCTCTTCAGGTTTTAGAGGATATCTTCTCATATAATTTTGGACTAAATTGTGTTCCTGTTGGATAAAAAAAAATTGGATTTTTACCTCTATTCATTAGACCCGACCTCGAATGAATAAAATGGGGGGACACGTCCGCCGTCGGCATACGTAACAGCCGTCTTATTCAACTTGAGTCTCTCGCGTTGAACTTAAGAAAAAAGTTATGACGGATTTGATTGTTATTGAAAGACTTTAATCGGAGCGCATTCGAACTGAGGACCCTGAAAAAAACCCAAAATGAACCAAGGGTACTCGGTGATACATTCACGAAAGTAAACGCGAATTTCTCCACCCTTTCTTTCCCAAGACTTTTTGCCGGGTTCGTCTCGTGTTCATAACCTCCGTCCGACATCGGGTTAACGACACCGGGTCGCGGAGGAAATTCTGACGTCAGCGCCGGGGATCGGTCCGGGGATTAGCGCAGTTCTGCGAGGCAGAAGTAATTGACAGCACATCCGTTGATGTTGGACTGGCGGGGAGAGGGCATCGACACCGACGAGATAGGGCTTTAATCGAGAATCCCGGGGTAAATAATCGCCTGCGCCAGGCTGCGAAACAGACCCGTGTTTGCTGTGTTCGATGATGTAACGCGAACCCTTGTCGATTACGGCGTGTGTCGAGCCTGCTTCCTCTACTGGCTCATTTCCTGAAGCCGCCCTTCGAGTATTTGCTCGCCATTTGGGAGATAAAAGATGTTGATTTTTTTTTATAAATCTACGTCTATGAGAAAGGTAACAGGTGGTAGAGGGAGGGTGTCGGAGAACGACGAGACGCAGCCATCCCTAAAATCCTCGATTATCTCGCAACGATGATCACTGCATTTTACAATTCATTTGAAAATAACTGCCCTCGTTGCAAAGGTGGCTTTAATAAAGAAGCATGCTTTGCACACGCGCTCCGTGTTATTCTGTCGTCTTGATGGACACAAGTAGTGCAAAACATTTCTCAGAAATTCTATCTACGTTTTTAGATTGTTGAGGTCAAAATAAATATCTGGAAGCAGAAAACTTATGGAAGACCGGAAGAATCTTTTCCACGAAGCGTGTTCGGAAATTCGACATGAAAGCTAAATTCCGCCACCACCGGAAACTTTCCTTTTATTTATGTCAGCCCTCGAAAAAAGTCGTGGAAATTAATTTTAAAAAAGCCCGAAAAAGTTCGAAATATCACTCAGAGAATCAGCAGAATAGTTTAGCATTCGCAAGTTTTTTCAAGCCAAACTTCAATCTCGCAAATTCTTCCAACGATCCCGTCAAAGGTTTGAAAGAGAAAACCTCGCAATCCCCCCCCCCCCTCCCCGAGGATATTAGATGCTTAAATGCGTGTGATAATAAAACTATAAGCTTATTTATCTTGAATATAATTAATCAATGTTGACATGAATGATTCAAGAATCGCTGTACCTTGAAAACTGATCGGTGGATTTTAGCCTACCTATGGCATCGCGGTTCTGGTGCGGATTCTTTTGATAAGAGGCAAAATTGATCATCACTTTCCAATAAATGCATTGAAGAGGTGACGGAAGCTGTTTTAAATTCAAGCATATGCTCATTTCTGCGCTGCGTTTGAAGTTGACACATTAGTACGATTACGCCTGAGTTCAAATGACAAGGGTCTCATTCAAGGACCCCATGCGCGAATTGGAATTTCTTTCGAAGCTGAGGCGGGAACGTAGCTCGATCGGAACGTCCGCTCCGATTCCATGAATCGAACTGAGAAAACGAAAATGCGAGCGTTAATTGGCTGAAGGCGTCTAGTGAACAACGCCCGCGCGCGGACATTTAAAAAGATGGAATCTTCTGAAACCGCCCAAACGCTTGCTTGGTCGTCAGAGGAGACGGTGAGTCGGGCCTTCGGTGTCCCTGCACCCACCCGCACAACCACGATGTCCTCACCTTCACATCTCAAATTTATACTTGATGTAAACGAGCACAGCACCAACGCGAATCATCACAGAATCCGATTGTTTCCGCGAGAGCGACTCTGAATGACCGGCCGTTAACAGGCTTCATTCCGATCGTGAGAAAACAATAATTCGAAGAGGAATCCCGCTTGCCACTACGGAAATGTGGCGCGTTTACCTCCGATTTTCATGAATCGCTGCTCGAACAATTTTGTTGTTGCAATAATTAATCCATGTGTAACCTTGCGTGTTTTACTCGGTCGGTGGAAAATCAACAGCTCGGTTGACTTTCTAGTGACTCGTTCAATGGAAAGGCCTGGAGTTGAAAGATGCATCCAGGGAGATGGCATGCAGAAGCAAGCGCGGAATAATGTACCCATTACCCTTTCACTCCAACTCATTACACCTGCTTAGTTTCTGGTTTATTGGGGAGAAGCACGTCGAGTTTCAGACGAATAATCAATGGACTTGCGGTGCGCCAGTCGCAATTTAATGTAAGACTGGAAGGGATGCATTTGAATACCTGAGAAAAGAAAATATTTCGTGCTTTAATAACTGGCGAATAAAAAGATTTATTTTGGTCATCCTTCTAAGGCATCTATGGAATGAAGAGCGCGATCGGATTTTTCTCGCCTCCGACGGGGCTCCTCGAGCGGACGGCATTATGTGTTTATGCGTGTGTTGTTCGGCCGAAGGAAGGCAATTCGACGAACCTAATGCTCGCGGATTGATTTCCAGCTGCGGAAGCCGGTTTCGACTCTATCGATCCCCGGAGCGATGAGAAGCAAGGATGGTAAAGGCGATGGAGCCCTGGACGACCCGGCGCACATCGCGCTGGTGGGGGTGCACTCCGAGTACCCAAGGTACATGGAGGAGAAGCCAGGCACGGCGGCGACTGCCGCCAAACCGCTCAGCCGCCAGCCGCACAAGCCCAACGTCGGCTACCGCCTCGGTCGCCGGAAGGCGTTGTTTGAGAAGCGCAAGCGGATCAGCGACTACGCGCTTGTGCTCGGCATGTTCGGCATCATCGTCATGGTCGTCGAGAATGAGCTTTCCTCCGCCGGTGTCTACACCAAGGTACGAAAATCACTCTCTCCTCACCTTCCCGTCATTGATTTTCTTTATGAAAATGCCGGTTCGCGAAACTTCCTGAGCAAGGGAAATCTGAGCGACGGCTGGTTTCTTCGTGATACAATAATTCAGGAAAAAGGGATATTCACCAATCCATTCGGTAGTTCTTCTAGATTAAAAAAAACTTTCTGATATATATTTGCTGGTTACTTTCTGGAAATGGGACATCGGAATGCGATGGCTGATGGTTTCTTTGAATATTAAAAAAAACACCTGACAGTTTACTGTATTCGATAATTCTTCCCAATTTTAAAACAGATCTTAAAATTATCTGCCTTTCAATTCTGGAGACTTTCTGAAAAACAAAAATTCGAGTGATATATGCTGACTGATATCTTGACGAATTCAGGAAAAAGAAGCGCCCATCAGTTCCTCATACGTCTACTCCAATTTTTGGTCTACAGTAAAATCTCATTACAACAAACTCGTAGGGAGCCGAGAAAAATTGTTGCGCCGAAAATTTGTAATAATGAGGTTCCTAGTTTTTTGAGCATGTATAGGACTGAAACTGAATGGAAAACAGGAAATAGATGCCTTAAAATAATTCCACAATATCTATTTTTAAAGGATTTTTATAATTTTCAACTTCTTTTGATAAGAGAATATAGAAAATTCCAGATTCAAAATGCAAGTCTTTTATTTCAGACCTCACCATTAAATTTCCTAAAAATATACTGTTCTTACTGATGATAAACTGAAGCAGACAGAAAAAAAATGTGTCAGGAACATGTTCATTCATCTAGAGTTCTATGTTCTCTGAAATACAGCAGTATTCTTTCAATTTTTTTTTAATTGGTAAATTTTTTATTCTGAATTAAGCCAGCTAAATTTTTTTATGGTTTCTTACATATTTATGAACCGAAATATTAGCAGTTAGTTAACATAATTTTTGAATTATGAACAAGGTGTGTTTTCCTGTATTTTGCCAATTAATACAACTTTCTATGCCGCAGCGTGTACATCTTATCAAGAGAAATGAATTGCACTGAGATTATAGTAGCAAGTTAGTTTGTTAGAAAAATGTTTCAAACATTGTCGCGAGACTAAAAGCTGCAGGGACTACAAAAACACTCGTTCAGACAAAAAATCCTTATAAAAATGTGTTATAAAGAGATTTTTTGTAACGGAATTTTACTGCTTTCGCGATTTCTCCACGATTTTCAAAAAGTATCTCAATGAAATTGTTCGATGTACAGTACTGTACTCGTATCAAGGCGTCACATGAGAAGGATAGGGGATTGAATACCATCCGGATCTCGCAGGAAGTCATCAACTTTTTTTCATCTGTCAAAAATAACAAACGGAGAGAATATACGAAAATAAAAAATCATAATTTATTATTAGAGCGTTACTGAAGAATATGTTGGTAACTTTTGGGCCATCAGTATCACCAAGACCACGCAGAATATCATGAAATATCACGCATGGATATATGGAGTGCATAAAGATAAATGGGTCCAAAGGTCGCTGAAATTACGTTCTGGCTTTCATACTACAGTAAATGTGCAGTGTACAGTACTAGAAAAGCCACGAAGAATTTTAAAAATGGAAAATATAAAAATTTGTTCGACTGCTTGATCTGATTTTATGAGTTCCCAATTTCCATTTTTAATATTTAACGGCGGGAACGCTAGAGTTCTAGAGTTTAACGGCGGGAAAGCTAGAGGCGATGGTGCTTCCATCGCCTTCCCTGAAGCTATTTTAAATTGACGACAATCACGGATAAAAAATTAGCTGAATCTTCCCTTGCTCTGGATTATTTGTAAAAGTGTGACGACATTTATTTTCTGGGATTTTTCATCTATCGGGTCTCAAAAATCTTTTGTTAGAACGGATGGTAGCCATCTAGCTGATGTTATCGTATTTGGAAGTAAGAGTGCAGAGCATTTGCTGCGACATCAATTGATCACGAAACTTGATTTCTTAAGCATGCCTTCATGCTATGATCACTTTTTTCACTGCTTATAATGAATGACCCTAACATATCTAATTCGTTTTTCTTATTCTGAATGTTTATCCCTTCGATATGACAGTACTGTATAAGGCTTTTATTATGTTAACGCGGAGAATAAGTGGGAACACAACTCGAGCAACCATTTTCTCGGCAAAGCGGTTGCGGGAAAAAGAAGCTTGACAGGAAGAACTAATTCATGCTTTCGCTCTTTGTGGATATTTTTTGTAGTTCATTTCATATATACGGTAAATGTAATGTGCATCGATCCGTTCAGCTGCGTCCTTGTTGAAAACTTCCGTCGGTCTCTTATATGTTTTTTAGTGAAAACAGAATTTAAAAATCTTTTGGGTATAATTGGTTTGTATAGCTTTTGTCCCGTGCGCCATCATCAACATTAATCATTCCTCCAAAAACGTTTCCAAAATTGCTGTATGGGTTGACCTGGTAGAAGAAAAACACAGAAAGACGTCGTTCAATACTGTTTTTGTTTTGCATTAAGCGAGAAATTCCGCGGAGAGCTCTTTTAAGGAAAAAAATATGTTTCCAGTAAAAGCTCTCCAAGACCTGCTGCTGCGACGCTATTTATTTTTACCGGGAGGGAATCCGAGGAATGACAATAAAGCCCAAAAGATAGTGCACATATTGAACAACAGGAAAACCTGGTGTGATGTTCGATGTTCCTCAATTCAATATCTGGAAAGGAATAGTGGTATTAGTCGTAGTAACGAGCTACCCTCGGTCGTTACTAGTCGTTAGAATCCAGATTTGTCGTTGAGCAAGGGCTCGCTTGAGAATTACGCGGACCAGGGCAATCCCAGTGACCTGAAACCCATCTTGCTTATACATAATCCCTTCCTCGTACCTCTCAGCTTCTCGCCTCCTTCGCATGCCCAATGAAACCGCAGAGGAAATCTTGGGCTTCCATTTTCTCCACCCTTTCAGTCAAGATACTGCTCGATAAATCTCTCGAGGATCCAGCGTCGCGCGATGAACGTTTGACGGTAGGAAAGTTACGACCGTTCTGGATAATATTAATAACCTGGTCGCTGGTCAGCTAAGAAGAGTACCAATTGGTAAGGGAAAAAAAGCTGCACAGAACCGTCCCTGGTCGCTTTGTGTGCGGTAGCGTCTAGAACGTCTCGAAAATGGCTCACACATAAAGCATATTCGGGTCACGCCCGACGCCAGCCACGATGGACATTTCCGATTCATGCTCCGAGCGATTCCCGGTTCTCATATTTCATTCCCCGGGATTCTGTGTCGCGAGGAAGAAAGACAGTGCCATGGGAAGTGTAGGTAATTACATTTTCGGAGCCTGAGTAGTTCTTGTTCAGCGCATTAAGCTCCACAGGGATTCCGCTCCTTCTTGCCCATTCATATTCAGGTGCGAGCGTCTCGTTCTAAACATTGCTCCCTATCCACATTCGTTGCCGAGAACAGGGTCGTTGCTTAGTTTCGTTTTTCTCCGCCGTTCCTCTGCGCCGCACACTTCACATTATTAAAATTGATACTCGGAGCTTATGTGTGACATCTGGGAAGCCCCAGCATTTTCTCCTTCGGGATTTTTCCTTGATACATGAATTGTGCAAAACACAAATCGTAAAGGCTCAAATGGATCTCTTTCAATGCGGGTATGCTCTATTGCACTTGCGTTTCCTTCGCCCCCGTCTCCTTTTAATCTCATTCCGCAACATTGCCGCACGTGTGCGTAGTTGAAATCTCCGCGAACGGGCGCTAGAATTTCTAGAGCACATCAATTTTCTTGTGGATTATGTAAGCATTTTTTTCTCCAAGAGAATCTCGGAAGACATGAAGGATAATGATTCATGGGGACGTGAATTTAATGAATCGCTCCGAAAATTTCTCTGCGGGAATTTTTTCGCTCCTATAGTGGGTAACTTTGCGTGTATACATGCGAGCTCAAGGTATGGTTCACTTCTTTGCATATTGTATTTTTATCTGAGCACTTCGTTAAGATCATCGGCCTAACGAGCTTGAGTCTGCATACGATTAATCTCACTGGACTGCACGTGTTACTATGTCAGCCTTCGTATTCCATTAGCTGAAGCCGAATCAAGAGTTTCAAAACTAGTTGCAAACCCAGATACGAGAAACCATCACAGTACACAGAAAACGTCCTTCCGACGTCATGGAGTGTATGACAATGTTTTGTGCGATGCAGAATTTTGAAATTTATCGGTTTATCATTTGATTCTGAATTTTCACAGAGAACTGCTCAGACTAAAGCTTATGATTTTTTACACGTTTAGGTGAACAATCATAATACTGTAGATTTAAAATCTTGAACAACCCTTGAAAACTTCGACAAATATTTGACAGGAAGAAGCTTAGCAACCAAAAACAACCACGATCTATTTTCCGAGTTTTCTTTTCATTTTTCTTGAAAGCGTATCTCCCAGTCATCCGTAAAATGCTTCTTACTTTTTCTCTATATAGAAGACGATGAACTTGGAATACGAAAGAAACTGTGATGGTAGAACAGAACTGGGAACAATCAAACTTTCAGCTTAATAAGCAAATGCATTAGTTGGTCGACACAATTTTGAATTTTTGAATAGTCAATACGAAGGGATGGCATTTTCACCCAATGAATTCCAGAAACTGCTGCGTACAGTATCTCAGTAAAATTAATGTCTTAGATTTGAGAAGTTGTGTCGTGAAGTACGTATACTTTGTCGAAAGGCTAAGAGGGTTTTGCATTAACTACTGCACATGTACATGCACTTGAAAAATTTGAATTTATTGAAAAAAGAATGATCAAAGTGAGTTGTTCAGACTTCGTTCCTCGTCAACTTGATCTTTCGTTCGCCAGAGTCGTCGCAACTGCGTAAAATTTGTCACACGCAGGCGTAAATCGCAAATTCAGAATGTATTTGACCTCAGATTTTATGTGACCCGTCCCGCCGTTTTAATTAATGCACGTTAATTAAAATTAATGTGCCGAAGTTCTCTTATTCGAACTCCGATAGTCTCTGTGCTTTTCAATGGAAAACATCAGCGTATCTCGTGTTTCCAGCAGTGGGTGGTAAATCGGACCTTAAAGGGGCAATTTTCGGCGCTGGTGATGAAGATACGTTTCTGCCCAAATCAGCCACGATGATGCGTATTTTGCGCGTGGCTGCAAAGGAGGGATTATTGTTTTTCGTTTATTTTCATTCGGCAAATCCTCTTTCATTAATTCAATCAATTGCACTTGAGAAGAACGCTGCGAAAAGTAGCATGATTGCGGTTGAATCGAGTCTCTGTCGGCCGAGATACGGATTCTCGATTCGGGCGCAATTGTGCGAGCTTTTCGCCTCCTTTGCCTGCATGGCGGAGAATCGAGGGCGGCTTCGGAAACGAGCGGTCGTTCCCGCAAATGGCGGAGGACACGGGAGGTGACGGATGGGCTTGGAAGACGCGGATCTTTTATGTAAACGCGAAGTTCCCGGGGGGATAAAGAAGCCGTAGTCAGGGGAAATTAGCCGCGCCCGGCGGCAATGAAGCGCACTGCTGCTTACTTGTTATATTTAGGGCGGTCTGGCGGGAGCCGCTTTCGGGACCAAGTCCCCGAGCATCATCGGCCAGCACGTTTCCGGAAAGTTGATAATCGCGGCACTGAGGGAATTGTGCGAGATTGAATGGATGGAATTTTTGTCCGACTGTTGTCCCGCAGGAGTCTTTCTATTCGACGGCTTTGAAGACGCTAGTCACTGTGTCCACCCTGATCCTCCTGGGACTCATCGTCGCCTACCACGCCCTGGAAGTGCAGGTCAGTGAGTCGCAACTCGCGCAAAGAGTTCGGGGGACGTGACAGAGTTTTGAATCGCCAGTTATTCATGATCGACAACTGCGCCGATGACTGGCGAATAGCGATGACGTGGCAGCGAGTGGCCCAGATATCGTTGGAACTTGTGATATGCGCCGTGCACCCTATCCCGGGAGAGTATTATTTCATATGGACTACGAAACTGAACAATATGCATCGGCGCATCGAGAGCACGCGAGTGCCAGTGGATGTGACACTGTCGCTGCCGATGTTCCTGCGGCTCTACCTCATCTGTCGTGTCATGCTTCTGCATAGTAAGCTGTTCACGGACGCGTCCAGCCGCAGTATCGGCGCCTTGAACCGCATCAACTTCAACACGCGGTTCGTCCTCAAAACGCTTATGACCATATGTCCTGGCACAGTCCTGCTTGTCTTCATGGTCTCGCTTTGGATCATTGCCAGCTGGACCATGCGCCAGTGCGAGAGGTGAGCTTTCCGTTAATCATAACCGCACCACCGAACGTCGGGGATCCCGACTTTCCTCCTCAGCACTAGCTCTCACATAAAGAGGCTGAGAGGAAAATCGAATAGCTTCTCACTGTCCGAAGCATTCATTCAAAGATCTTAATAATTACGGCAACCTTTTTCGGCAACATTGTGCTTCGATTCCGAAATGTCCCGTCAGATATATCTTCTCTTCCGTGATGAGCGACCCCTGTCAAGAAATTACTTGAAAGCGAACTTTTAATGTAATCGTATTCTAGTAAACCGACGCTTTTGGATCGAAATTTTCTGAAGGAAACTGTTGCGATCAATATGCCAGGGCTTCAAGATGAAAAGGACTGTGTATAATTGATCACATAGTTGATTCTGTTGGAATTTCCCGGGAAATGAAAGTTCAGTAGACAAGTTTGCGCATGATGAAGCTCATGCTGACTTACTTGGGATGGAAGAGTTTCGTGCTCTCCCGAAGCGCTGCACTGTTCTTGGAAAATGTAAAATGGAATTAATTTTCCATTACTTTTGTGATTATTATTCTCCACAGAAGAATTCACTCTTCTTTCAGCAATCAGGGAAATTTGTGATTCATTTATGTGAACAGCTCCTGTAGAGGTTTATTTACAATTTCACCATAAATATTGTAGTTTGATTCGGATGTACGCGTTCTGCTGACAAATATTTCAGGATTTTTACAAAAGGTCAGAAGCCTAGAATGTATCATCGGGAGTGTTCGCATGACGGATAAGCCAAGAGTTTGGGATCACGTTGCATCGCACATGATCCCCTCCGAAGAGAAGTACTGTGCTCATAATCTATGGAATGCCCATCTGCACATCACTCGTTGGTTCCAGGAATTGACCCTGAGCATTTCTATGAAAAATTGAACGCAAAACTCAAATCCCCGGATAGTTTCCTCGACTTAAAAAATTCTTTCTTCGAATCTCGCATCGCGTAATACGCGCGAAAACAGACATAAAATGTAGCAAGATTCAGTATGCTGTAGAGTAAAGTATTCAGTATATAGAATGAACGTTTAGAATATCGACGTGGGTCCCACAGTTTCCCATGTGTCTAAGACTAACCTCATTGTTTCCCGAGCAAAGACAATGAAAAACTGAAATCCGATCGTACCTCTGGGTTGTTCAACGTGTTACAGTTTGATCACTACGTCGATTTGCATTCTCAATATAGGTACCATGATGCCGAGCACGCAAACCTGTTGAACACTATGTGGCTCATTGCCATCACGTTCCTCAGCGTCGGATACGGTGATATCGTACCCAACACATACTGTGGCCGAGGCATTGCTGTTACAACCGGCATGATGGTGAGACCACTTTTCTACTTTCGAGAAAAACGTACCTGATCGCAGTGAGACACAGGGAAATGTTTATGCCTCAAAAGGTGAACAGCATGAAATAGACCAAAGTAAAAATGTGAATTACTGTATTATCTACCAACACTCTTGCTGCTAAATAAGGCATCTGAACTTAGCAGCATCTATTGGGGACTTATCACTTATGTCGCCTCAATATAATTTTGTATGAAGTTGGATTGGAAAGATTAAGTGCGTAAATGAAAAGCAGTAATGAGCCCGGGACAGGGGCCGGAATTCCTTCTTGGAATTCCTGGGTTAACAAGTGAGGATGTATTCCACAAGATTAAGATCAACATCTACTTAGCAAACTCTTGCTTCAACTGAGTAACGGATAACAATTATAATTAGATTCGGTTCTGCAATTTACCACCTTAACCATTTATATTTAACCTTCATCAGTCTTTATAAACCCTTCATAGGGCTTGTCATTCGGTTTTTAGTAGTAGGTGAAACTCTAGAAGATATCAAAACAATTACATCATTAATTTGCTTGCCTAGCAGCATCCTTGTCCATCAGTGTAGCTTGCTATAAGCGTTTTGCCCATCACAGAGTTTTATCTAAGTGGTGTAATTTCTGCAGTATAAATGCATTGGTTGATGCATCACCAGAGCACCTTCTTTTCTTATGCTCAGAATTTCACAGCTACAGTAATGAGCTTCAAAATGATTTGGGACTCTTAAAATGTAATGAAAAGACTCTTTCCAAAATCTTATAGATCCAAGATAATCTGTAAAAATTATATGATTTCTCATCAAAGATTCTCTCCAAATTGTTTAGGCAACTAAACCTTATCTTGGAGTAGATTGAAAACCTTGTGCCTTATTTGGGTTTAGTAATTGCTTTATGGTGCAATTCTTATTATTGATATTTTGTTGATGTAAACAGGGAAGGGAAGAAAGTGTAAGTATTCATATCAGTTGTGCGTAGAATTTTTTGGGATGTTTTTTTTGTTGTTGTATATATATCCATGTACAGCTTGTTTCTCTGTTTTCTATGCTGATGTGAAGAATGTGTTTGAATGAATGTGGGTGGGGATGGGAGGGGGTTTGGATGTGGGAACAATGCTTGAACCTTGTGGACGCTGAAAAGGGGAAAATAAAGTTTGCTGTTCAATTCAATTGAATATATAATGTTATCAACAGTGAATAATCCCAGCCTTTTTTGTAAACATGCCTTATTCTTTTGAGATAACTACAGTCTTATATCCTGTTGGCAAAAAGGGTGCGGAAAGTCCATTTTTACGGGGAAATTCCTACGACATTCTCCGTATTGACATTGTCTATGGCAATATCAAAGCATTGCAACGATTTGGACATGCTCCCCATGCATTAGCATGTAATTTAACGCGCTCAATGAGCACTTCAATGAGACAAGATAAATCACCTGGAACCATGTGAATAAAAAGTACATTTTCAACAGATAATCTTTCTTTCGTTCATCCAAGCTTTGGAGGACGCCATATACTGTAATACTAATGCTTCATGAAAGGACCCATTCAACGAGTTCAACTGATCATAGATAAAATCCCTCTTGACGTTAATACATTTAAATTATAATGTAATAATTGCTTTAAAATTTACACGATTCCCTCTACAGCTTCAAAGTTCCGGAAACTAATTTAAAGTTCAGTGAACGCAGTAAAAAACGCAAAGGGACCATCTTTACCGCCCAAGCATTTTTTAAAATGTATTTATTGTGAAGCTTTCAATTCAACTCCACCTTCAAAATTTTCGTTTTCTGGAAAAGATTATTCCACTTTTGAGACTTGCGTACTTATGAAGACCCGACAAACGAAACAACAAAAATCTACTGCAGAAAAATGTCTTGCTTGCGAAGGAGCTTTTTGCGCGAACTTCGAAATACTTCTGTAATCTCAAGATGGACATCATCAGTTATGTAATAATTTGGCCGATGGAGATACATATATTATGGCATGTGGGTCCTGATTGACATTATGTTTTGTTTATACCCGAAAATCCTTCCAAATTCACTGGATGAATCGATTTTAAAATTATTTCTGTATCTGATGTCAAACGAGTCACACTTGCGGATTCTGCCTATCTGCAAAGGTAGTAATTCAAGCAATGATTCATCCCTTCTCAATTATGTATTTTGTACCCATGGAAACAACCCGACGGCAAAAACAAGGTCATACTGGGATGTTCAGACATCAAACATTCAAGAGCACCGTGGTGCAGACGTGTAAAGCATTTTACGATTATCCGCTTTATGTCGCATGAGTGCACGGGAATGAATTGATCATGCCTAATTTCTCCGGTTCTTCACATTTACGATGCCAGAGAAAATTCATGCTTTTTGGGGCTCTCGTTGGTGAATCAAAAATGCATTTATTCATTTGGCGTGTCTCTGACGAGAAGGATGCGAATTAGTGTCTCATTTTTATTCTCTTTTTCGGGAAACATCTCGTTCATGGCATTTCCCGGAGTGGAAGTTCCAGAAGAAAACTTAAGGGAAGATAAGTTTATCGATTGATGCCGCAATGATTATCGGGGTATTTGCAATTTTCTGCACGAAATCATTTTCCAAAGTAACCTCTCATCTTCAGTTATCTGGAGATGAAAATGGCGTCGGTCTTTTTTATAATGAGACTGAAATTAAAATTAATGTTACTTCATGAGTGTTATGCAAATATTCTACGATTTAGTTAAACGCTCAGGGTATGTCATGAGAAATGTACGCGTAAAAAGCAGCACTTTATGTTCAAACTTTTAAAATATTATATTTGTAATTATTCTCAGTGCTAAAAAAAATCTAGAAAACGCAACCCGATTTTTGCCTGTAACCTCTGCACAGCCATGCTTCGATAAATAACTCGGGTAGGGTCTGAATCCAGAGATGCGTTCTTCCAATAAAGTCGCTCTCCGCTTTCATTTTCGTAGAATATTCTCAAAATTCAATCAGCTTTTAATGATTTAAATTTGTATATACCCAGAAAATTGGCTTCTAATCGTTGAAATTTACAGTCGGTACTAGGGCTCCGGTTCTGAAAGACAATTCAAAGTCGATGCAATGCATTTTACATCGAATTTCTGAGACTTCGTTTTTATGATACTGTATATTTAATTTGTGAGGGACTTATTATGGCCAGCAGGAAGGCCGGGATTTCTCCCAGGCGCACAATTTCCGTCCAAAATCGGGGATCGGACGAAACGCAGTCCATAATCAACGATTATACAGTATAACAACGATTACATGAATTTATCCGGTACCACTGATATTGAATAACTGATTTCCACTCCTAACTTCTGACGCATATGTGTCAACTTTGTATAATTTCCTAGCTAGCTTATTGTAGATCCTTCACGCGCGTTTAATTTCTCAAGAAAGCTTCGCTGTGGAACTGGTGAACTCCGAAATTCAATGCAAATCTCAACAATGACCTTCAATTTCGCTGTTTGAGAGCTCCCGAGTCCATCATGACAGAAACTGGAATGTTGACTCCATCGTACACTCAAATTTATCCAATAAATTTCAACTCCGTTGGCAAGAAGAGCTTACTCAAAGTGTGCGCTGACGAGAGTGGGCCTCGAGCTCCACGCGGGTACTTATCCAACACCCGCGTTCATCCAAGACCCTTGGGCTTCGTTCTCTGGAATATCTTCATCGGATGATTACTTGGAATAGCGGCTAAGTGTCATCCAATCTCACCGTTCAGTCTACTCATCCTTCGCAATAGACTGCACTGCTCGATAAAGTACTTGAACTGAGATTATTGCTCTGGACGGTGGCACACGCACGAATGCACATTTCATCGTGAAAGTTCGACTAGTTTGAATCGGTTTGGGATTCAAGTTGGATCTTCTGACACATCATTGCTCTTATTCCGAGGCATTGACTCTGGCAATATTCCGAGACAATATTATTAAGTTTGTCAGAAACCAAAATTTGAACTGCCTTTTTTTCTCTCTCGGGGTTGAGGCTGCAGCGATTTAAGATGAAACACTTGTCCTGAAATGAAACCAGGATTAGGATGTTATTTTTCTAAAAAGTCTGACGGGGTTGATCTTGTATCACATCGAAAGAGCTATACAGTAATTGCTTTAATTATGATTATTTGGCAATATGCAGTATGTTGGTCTTCTTGGACGTCGACAACATGGTTTCTTATTTGTTTCTAGGTTTTGTCCAGCGCCTCTTGAAATCGCTCTGAAAAATGAATAGCCATGGAAGGCTTTGGAAAAAGAGAACTCAACAATGCATGGGTTTCAAGTGGTAATATCACCTAGAATATCTGACGGTCCAGAAAGAAATAGGATTTTCCAGCATTTTAACTTATTGGTTTATTTGGTTATCGTGTTAGGACGTATATTCAATAACTATGCATGGGTCTTATCTTGGGAGAAAAATGGTGACTCCAGACGTTTCCTCTCCTGGTCGAGCAGCATGAGTGATTTAGTTTTTGAATTTCTGAGGAGGAAATCATGCTTTCACGACTTGTTTTGCATTAACCCTCGGGGGGTGGCCGGAATCCCAGAAGAAATCGCCGACACGGGCTCAATGACGCGTCCGCCCGGAACGCGTGAAAAATGCATGGCAGTCCGCGTGCGCTCGCCGCAGCTGCTTGATACTGGCGTCCAAAACAGGGACGCCGTAATATTTTAATGTCCCCTGGGGCTACATTATTGACTGTGCTTTGCCCGTGGCACTCGAAGGAGGTCCCTGGGATTCGATGCGACGCGTGTCGTGGCAAAGGTTCAATGAAAAGTTCGTCATGCGATCAGCAGGAAAATTCGAGTATATATACGTCATATACTTCCAGTCAGGATACGGCATAAAGTATTTTACTGCACTGTACTGTATGTACAGTCTTTCCCCGAAAATGTGATCCAGCCGATAGATAAGCCCGGTCCCTATTTTCACAGACACCACAGCAGTGCTGTGATCATTTTCCGTGATATTTTGTTTCAAGTAAAAATTACTATCCCTA